AAGCACTCTCATTCACACGCCACTGCCACTTCCGCCTTCAGACCTTCTTCAAAAGGTCATGCACTGTGCGAGAAACTGCGCAGTAGCGTCGCTCCTCTGCCCGCGCATCCACATAGATGCAATGAGCGCTTCGGTTCCGCACCGCTCTCGCCACGTCCGCAGGCGTGAAGTGCTTCATGAACCGCTTGGCATCGACACACTGCTCGAAGGAGCTATGCGCCACGGCCTTGGCCAAGGTGCGTGCCATCCTCGCCTCTTTGGGGCCAAAGCCACCTTGGTTGTCAATGCCCAAGAACTTCTCGACCTGATATTCTTGCACCACAAGCCGTCTGGACTTTGCTTCTTCCCATGATGTCTCTTTGGCCTTTTGCGCCACGTCCTGCAGGAGATGTGGGCAAGTTTCAAGGTTTCAACGTTCGTTGATGTTTCGGGTTGTTGTCCCATGGTTTCATGACCCTTGTCCTCCATTACACCGATGTTGCCACCTGTGAGTTGAATCATATCGCTCTTGTGCTTGGAGGCCTCTTCACCGCCATGATGATGTAGGAATTCCTCAACCTGACAAGGAGACGTCCATCTGCAAACATCCCAACCCATGCCAGAAGTAGCACCAACAAAAAGCACTAAAGTGATTGAAGGTGACTGAACAATTACCACATGAACTGAAGCTCTTCATTATGGCCTCCTTCTGCGAGAGCTCTTCACTCGTCAGTGGTGGAACGAAGAATCGGCGCTCACGACCGTCTGCGTCAAAAGCAATGGCTGACACTGCAGAACTGACCATCACCACCACTTTGGCGACCGTGTCATCAAAGCCCCATGACTTTGCAAAGGCGGAGACGCTGCTCATCACATCTGGATTAAAGACACCATGAGGAACTTCAAGGATGATGATGGGTTGCCGTCCCATTTCTTGTTTGGCATCTCTCAAGCCACGCATCATCTCCTCTTCATGGAGCACTGCCAACCTGCTCCTCAATGCGTCCTTGGCAAAGTCGTTGTTCTGCATGAGCTTGATGTGGAGCACTCCATTGTTCCACTGTTTCTCCTGCAACACTTCCCAAAGGATGGTGCTCTTGCCAACTTCATGGTTCCCCCAGATGAGGATTGGGCGGGGGTCGTCCAAGTCCAACAACTGGTGCATTTCGTCCTGCCATAGTGCATAGTGAGCATAGTGCATCAAATTCAAAATGCCAATATGACATGGAATAACACCATCTCAATAACAAATCCCTTCTGTCAAGAAACACACAGGCAAACACAACAAAAAAAAAGTGGTGCTTGGACGCCTTGATTATCTTCCGTTCAATCTTGACACGTGGCTCGCGTGCTTTGAAAGAGGCATTCACAATGATATTCTTCACTCGCTCTTGTTCTTGACGATGCCGTTCTTGTTCTTGACGATGCCGTTCTTGTTCTTGACGATGCCGTTCTTGTTCTTGACGATGCCGCCACATATACCCATCCAAAGGTCACGATGGCCAACGAGCCACCACCACCAACCAACCACTTTCCAATCTGCTGTTTCGTGGTCGGCTCCTTCTCTGGAGCGTTGTTTGAGAAGCAACGGTGGTTTCGTCGGCCTGACATGAGAAGCCGAAAACCACAACATCGGGCAATGAGGCAACGCGACATACCCATGGCGGAAATGTGCAACACATGCCGCAAGTAGAACTCATCTTATCTTGTGAGCATTTGTGAGCCTGTCTGCTGCGGGAGAAAGCAATCAACATCTCTGGGTGTAGTGTAATGCCACAATGTGTACATAGAGTGTACATAGTGCCTCAAGAAACGCAATATGTCCTCAAAAGTGATGCTTCCATGCAAACGAAACAGCGCGCACATCTCATCTGGGCGCCCCCGACGAAATCCAGAAAGTCCATGAAGAAGTCCGCAAAAAATGAGGCGAAGCGAAAGACGTTCAAATCAAAACACAACCAAGAAAAAACGCCACCAAAAAAGACGAGAATGAGAGAATAAAAAATGAAAGATGTTGAAAGACATGGAACCTTTTGAAAGATATCAAGTTGAATGTTCTGTCTTGAAACTGATGATAAGGAAACACAATAAAATCATACCCAAAAAAAGACAAGACATACCTTGACAATAAAAAACGACAACCACAAGTACACTATCCACAGCATCTCCCTCATCTGAACCAAAACACAAACCCCAACAGCCTAAACAAATCCTACCCTCATCTGAACCAAACATTGACACATCACTTTAGCATCAAAATGACCCCCAAAACCCCACCTGAAAAATCATCAAAACCAAGGATGAAACATTGAACCCCAACACAGAATCATAACAAGCAACATACCAACATACATGCCCTGAAACCCCCATTTTTCCATTTTGGGGGGCATATGGTAACTTGTCTCTCCATGAAAATATGTTACTCAACCCTTTAGGGTTAAACCCGGGGACAAGGGAACATTTCGGGGGTCTGGTTAACCTTTAGGGGGGAGTTGGCGGCATATGGTAACTTGCAGCTCTATTCAATATGTTGCCCAACCCTTTAGGGTTAAACCTGGGGACAAGGGGACATTTAGGGGAAGCATCTTCGAAGTTGCTCGAAATGGATGTTACAACGTAGCAATGGTACACCATAGCATCCATAGTGTCCTGGAAGTTGATTGAAATGGCTGTTGGAACGTCGCATAACACGTGAGGCTCTGAAACTATTGCCTTTTGAAGTGGAAAAAATCCTTTTGAGGCTCTGAAACTATTGCGCCTGCCACGCAAAAGCAGGGGTCACATTCGCCCCTGAACGAGGGTCACATTCGCCCCATCCCACTTCATTCAGGGGCAAATGCGACCCAACATGGTTCAGGGGCAAATGCGACCCCCGTGCCTGCCATCGGTAACCCCCAAATTAAGCAATCAACTGCCGTGTATCAATTCAGACTCCAAATTGCACACCTTTCTGCTTCCAGGAGTCTGTGACCCATTGGGCAAATCGCTTCATCATCCTTTCACCCTCCTTCCAAGGGGATTCCTCCTCCGACCTGACCATGCTGACCATGTGGTTATGCAGCTAATCTGTTGCAGGACATTAGTAAAACACAACACTCCACATATCCAAAGCTCACAAGTTGCAGCCACGGGTCCCCTCTTTAACTTGCTGCTTGAAAGTGGTCATGACCCACATGCAGTACCTTAGGCGTGCATAGGGCAGCAAATCCAGTGACATGTGTTCAGAGAACTTCCGGTCTGTATGTCTTTAATCCTCAATGGCAGGTGCGATGGATTGCAAACTGGTGGTGTCCTTCATGTCGGTTTGTCATGGGTGTCCCAAGCTCATGGACTCCTGGGTAATCATCCATTCAATGGATTGGTTTAAGGGAAAATTTACAGGAAAACCCCATATTTAATGGGGAAATCCATGGTTTCCCGCAAATTGTCCCTTAAACCAATCCATTAATTGATCCATGAAAAATTGCCAGAAATCTGGCTGTTCCCCGTTGGAACCGCCCAGTCGTCATCGTTGAGGCATGTGCTGTGGCTCATTGATCCATGCCTCTTCGTAGGTCATGCCACCGTGCCTCACTGGCAAACATGCCCAGGATCATATAAGTCATCATTGATCAAGTTGATTCCAGCTCTAAACTGCATATAAACATATCTCACAGTCTTGTGTGCTGGTAACAGACTGGGTGTTGAATGTCAATTGCAAATGAAGGTGCAAGGCTCTGCGACGATCAAAATGCGAAAAACTGGAAACTGCAATCAGCAAAGGTTGCGGCCGTCTTTTTGCTGAAAAGCAGTCATGGCTCAATTCGGCCGGTCTGCGCAGCACGTGGGGAAATGATGGCGTTAATGCCAATTGAGCAACGTATGATTGCGATGTTCGCATCCAAACGCTCATGCAGTGAAAGTGTCAACATCTCTGGACCGCTTGACAGGTTTACATGTCAAATCTTCACACTGGTCTTTGTTTGATGTTGATACAATTGCCCGCTCAGTCTTCTCAGTAGTGCTTTTCCTGGATGGAGCTTCTTCTCTCAGCTGGCACCAGGCCGCGGAACACCATTGCATCAGTGAAGATCGAAGTTTGGGGTCAAGTTTCGTCAGTCCATCTGCTTGCATGATCTGGGTAGGTACCCAGTGAACATCTTTGCGGCCCAAGCTTTGCTGCACAGACCTAATTGCTATCAGACTTCTCTTCTCGCTCGTGGATGGGTTCTCGGCCACGAGGCAGTCGAAAAGAGACTTGGCATCCACAGCTTGCTTCATGTTCATTTTCATCACGCCTTTGTAGGCAGGGATCTGGTGGAAGATCTCGGTGATGAAATAGTTTACAAAGCTGCCTCTGTCAGCGCCTTCGTCAGCGCTGTAGGCCTCAGCTGCAAGTGTGCTCCGGCAGACTCTCTGCGTTCTGCCGCTCTTCCAATCAACCAGAAATGCATTGCACATACGCTCTGTCACCTGTGGTGGACATATCGTCACCAAAACGCCAAACTGCGAAGTCAAATTTGATGCGTTCGCCCATGAAGCGTCTGAGTAGATCAGGATGACGGAGTTCTGGTTGAATGGCACAGAAGGAAAGCCTATGCCAAAGTCTGGTGTTTCTCTGGCGTGCTTGATGCACTCGTACACTTTGTTGAGATCGCTGATCTCGGTCTTGGATCCTTTTTGACACAAGGATGATGCGGCTGCCAAGTCAGGCCTTGTCTGACCTGAAAGCCATTGCAAGCTTCCAACGGCACTGCGGAAGTCGCTCATTTCGGCAGTGCTCAGCTCGCTGTCTTGTTGAAGACGTCCAGGAGGTAGCTTACCTGCAGTGGTTCCTTCTATGAACTTCTTCTGAGTGATGTAGTACTGCAGTTTTCCTCCATGTCGCTTCAAAGTGATTTCTTTGCCCCGGTAAACTCCGGGCTGGTACTCTGTGATTTTTGTGATGGAGCCCCATTCAAACATTGCTTCCAACTTTGCTATTGGAAACGAAGTTGAATATACAGCCATGAAATCATCGACATGCACTATCAGTGCACAGTTCAGTTGGCCACTGGCGTCGAAGTGCATGTAGAAGCAGCGGTCAAGGCTGTGCTGGATAAATCTATTCTTTCGAAGTTTCGCATCCACAGCAATGTACCAAGTGCGAGGTGCATTGCTAAGGCCATATAGCAGTTGCCCAGTATCTCGTACAAGGCAGCGGCAAAAGCTTTGGCGCGTTGTTGAATGGGATCGCGTGGAGGTTCCATGAAAATTGGTCCATTCTTCTCGGACTTGTCTTGAAATCCTTGAAAGAATGCCTTCTCAGCATCTGACAGCCATAGAGTCCATCGGAGTCCATCCATGTTGAACTCGCCATTTGCGCCAGAGGTTGCTATGCAGAGGATAATCATCTCTAAGAGGCGCGTTGGTGTAGGGCTGTCTCTTGACAATTGGCGAAGGTCAGGGTCAGCACATCCAATCACCACAACTCTGGTTTTTGGACGTAGTGCACGTTGTCCTCTGTTCTTATCCCGGTAGGCCGCACGGCTTTTCATGATTCTGCGGCGCATTTTCGCAGAATTTCGGATGCGATTTGCTTCATCCTCCGGGATCGCCCTGACGCCGCCCCATTTCATCCATCCATTGTACTCGCTGATGGCACTTTCAACGTACTGCTGGATGGTTGCTTCATCTTGCTTCATGATATCCCGCCAGGGAATTTCTCTGTCAAGTTGTTTTGCTTCCTGGCGGGTCATGCCTCTCTCATTGGACAGCTGCAGGTCCTCGTCGGACGAGTCATGATCGGGTCGAGTGAATTCGCCGATCCCTGAGAGCTCAATCTCTCTCTGCTTGCTGTTGAGATAGGCTTGGTGGCATCGGTCACTTTTGGCGTATGGCAGTGACAGTTCTTCGCTGCCATCCCAATGGATCAATGGTTGAAGCGACCCATCGTCAGTCATGTAGTAGTTGATGAGGGCATCAGCGGGTCGTTTTTGTGGCAATTCTGGAAGTCGTTCAGGTGGTTGTGGAGTGCTTGGTGCTGCTTGTATGTCAGGCGTGGTTGCTTGTGGTACTGCTGTGGCTGTGGCTGCGGCTTGAGATGGTAATGAAGAAGGTTGGTTGTACTGTTGTGCTGAATCAGGTTGTGTTGATGGTGGTTGAACTTGTGTCGTTGTTGTTGCATCCGTTAGTGCTGGTCTTTGTTCTGCTTGACGTAGGGGTGTTGGCCTACGGTCTCTGGATGCATTGGGTGTTCGAGAGCGGTGTCGGCTTCTCGGTGTTGGCATTGTTGGTCCAAAGTTGGGTTGATATTGTTGGTAGGTCGGTGAGTCAATGTTAATTGTCACATGTTGTGTGTTGTACTGCTGTTGTTGGCTTCTGAGCATGGCAAGTTGTAGTTGCTGTTGGAATGTATGTTCTGCTGCTGCGGCACTGGGCTGTTGTGTTGGTTGTTCTTGATCGCGTGCTTGTTGTATGGTGGGTGCTGGTAGGTCGAGTGTGCTCATTGGTATGTCTGGTGATATGTCTGGTAGTAAGTCGGTTGGTGCTTGTGCGGTTTCTGGCCGTGGTGTTGGTGGTAGTGATTGATCTTGTAGTTCAGTTTGTGCTGAATGAAGTCGTGGTTCCTGAATGGGTCGAAAGTTGAAGATCTCCTGGTCGATCATTTGGGCTTCATCTTCTCCAGGAGGATCGCCGCGACTGTCGTCCCGCAGGCCTTGTGAAAGGTTGGCTTCTGCGTCTTTCAGCAGCTTGACATCTTCCTCCGAAGGTGACCAGTCCTCCCATCCGCAAGCCAGGCGAATCTGGTTGTTGCCAATGCGAATGGTTGTTTTGCCCACTTGAATCCATGAGGATTTCTTGTCGGGGTCGCTGGCCAAGTATCTGCCCAGACTCCATGATCCCTTTTTGTGCTGCCGGGATCTTCCTTGCCACCGCCAGAATGCAATGGTCTGTCCAGGTTGAAGTCGAGGTAGATCTTGTTGTGGTCTGGTTTTTCGGAGGAGGCCTCGACGTACAGCTTGTGATGCGGAAATCTGCATCAATGTGGTAACTGCCTCAGCTCTCAGCAGCTCTGGTCGGAAGATCTGGTTGTCGTTGTTGCTGATCACCAGGGCCTTGTCGTCAGAGAGCAAATCGCCCAGTGGCCTGGGGATCCTTCCGAACACAGCTTGAAATGGCGATCTGCCATAGCTGTATGTGCTGCTGTTGAGTGAGTGGCAGGCTGCCACAACCACTTCATCAAGAGCTTCTCGGCTGACCACTGCATGATGGTCGACAAGCCTTTCCACCAAAGTTCGAAGAAGGGCGTTCCTTCTTTCAATCTTGCCAATTCGCCAATGTTCTTCAGCTGGGATGATCTCATACTCGATGCCGTGGCGTGCATGCCACTCTTCCATGTTGCCCAGAAATGCCGTGTCGGGGTCGACTGTCAGGTGTTGTGGGAGTCCAAGTGGATGATACCACATCGTCAGAAAGGTCTTCAGCACTGTCGCAGGATGTCTGTCAGTCAGAGTTGTGGCCACGATGTAGTTCGTGAATTCATCCACTATTCCAAGAACTGGGACATTCTGTGACAAAGTCCGAATGTAGACGATGTCAGCCTGAAGTCGATCTCCAAATGCTGAGGCATTCATTGTTGATGTGGAAGAAACTGCAGGCTTTTTGGGCAAGGTCAATCGTAGGCAACTTCCACAACGTAGTGCATCGAGTCCAGCTAAAACCTTGCTGCTCAAGTTGTTGGAGGCAGCAAGAATGCGGATCAGCTCTTCTTTCGGCGGATGGCCCATATTGGCATGAAGGCGTGCCAGTGACTTCTTCAGCTCCTTGGTCATCTCAGGTGGTGCATCTTCGAACCAAATGTCAGTTGTCATTCCACTGACTAGGTCCTTTGATGATGGAGCTTCTTGTTGTGGACGTTGTTCGGCTCCATCTGTTGTTGCGTCTTGAGAAGCATCTTGCGAATCATCTTGAGGTCCACCTGGAGCATGACCAAAGAAGAAAATGCCGAGACGAATTGTCTCGAAATACCTTTGTTTTGGGTACACCACTGAAGACAAATCTTCGCTCTCCAGGATGATCTTGCCACTGGCTGTTCGAAGGGCTGCTCCACGGTGTGTGAATGGTATGTCAGTTGGCCATCGACGAGCCACAGGAAGCCATGCCACTTGGATACGCTCAATGTCCCAAGGCACCAATCTGCAGATCTCGTTGTAGAGGTCGTCATTGGTTGGCAGGTTGTATGGCTTCTTGTGCGTGTTCTCAAACCTCTTCTCAAAAGTGTTGAGGAGAGAGTCCCAAGCCTGCTCGTCGTTGGTGGGCTTGACATAGTACACTGAAGTCTTCTCAGGTGGTCGAAATCTGAGAGGGTCTCGTGCAACAGCTTCACGTTTGAGGCCACGAAGGATGGCGTCACAAAGGCCATCACAGTATCGGCCACTGGCTTCTGTGTCTTTGCCCTGCACGGGCTTGGTGTAGAGCTTGGCTTCATCAGTGAGGACCCGACATAGTTCTGCCATGATCTCCTTGGAGTTGCCAATCCATTGATGTGGTTTTTGGATAGGCCAGCCATCTTCGGTTTCTGCACCGTAGGCTCCAGCATCGCATCGTGTGGTTATGTTGTCCGGCAGTTCGGTGACAGAGACCACGGGCTCCTCTTTCCAGATGCGGGATCTCAATGGATTTTCGCCCAAGTAGAACCTGTCATGTTCGTGCTGATAGTGCATAAGGTCAGCGCCAAACTCCACCAGAGGTCGTTCTTGCTGTCGCAGTTGTTCAAGCTCGCCTGGACGCCATGAGTAGTTCATGTTCTCGTTGAAGATGCTCCATTCTTTGCAGGGCCATTCCACGACGACCAGTAGAGGTCGATCACGGCTCTCCAGACGATGGCTCGTCCTTCTGGTGTGGTGAGATCAACGTTGATCTTGATGTCAACGGGTTCCAGGGCGGAAAGCTTGAACCGAGGGGCTCTTGCTGTCAAATTGGCACTGCCGGCAAACACTTCCAGGAGGTCAATCTTGGGGCCGAACTGCATCTTGTCCTTGTGGTTGGGCATCTGAGCATAGGCCTGATTCTCCATCTCGTAGGTCTTCAGGACTTGCCTCCAGTGCCCAGTGACCCATGTGGTTTTGGGTCTCTTCATCATGGTTCGATCATCGACCAGTCGTACTCGTCGGAGATTTCCTCCGCCTCTTCCTTCCCCTTGAGGGCTGCTCTCCGCTTGCCAGCGCCAGAACTCTTGGGTCTGGCCGTGCTCTTCTTCTCCTTGGTTGTTGGAGGTGGCTTGATAGCATCCATGATTGGCGCGGGGCGAGCTGGCTCCGAAGTTGTTGAGGAAGTCGGGACTGCCAGGGTCCAACGGGGCTTTCGGTTCTTGTCCACAAAGGTTGACGCTGTTGAGGATGCAGGCGATGGCAGTTGTGGCCGCCGCGATGGCGCTGGATCTACCCAGCGATCTTGTTCGTCTGACCACCGCCACCCCTTTTGGCAATCCTGGCGCTTGGCGAAACTGCCGTGCCTGTTCCCGTACCGTCGAATTGACGGATGTTGGCAAGGCTGTTGGGACACGTCCATCAACTTCATCATGTTGTCCATCTCGAGAGGGTCTTGGAAGGTCAGCCAAGGCCTTGGTCGAATTCGTAGCTTCACTGCCTGTATCATCACCTGGCATAGAAGCTTTTCCGCTTGAAAAAGTGCTGCAACGAAGCGGCTCCAGTTCTGCAACCATCGTGGAGGAGCTCCTTGAAGCATTGCTTGGGCTATCAGGTCGTGTGTTGCAAACCTTGAGAGCCTGTGGTGGCAGCATCAATTCACGATCGCCCTCAAATTGGCCACAAAGTTTTGTCAAATCATGCCAAACTGGTGATTTCGAAACATGCTCAGGAAATTTGCTGATATTGAAAGCAAGGTGACCGTTGACCATGCAAATGGGCAAAGTGATCTGCAAACTTCTGAGATATGCACTCCTCTTGGGCATGTCGAGCACCACTTGGAGCTTGTCTGAAAGAAGCCCGCTGCTGCCTAACAAAGGAATGTCATTCGTTGTGGAAATAACGCATGCTCCCAACAATAGTAGTCTATGATGAGTGTCGTCCAAACCCGCAGGAATCAAAGCGTGGGACCATGACCAAATTCGAAGGGCTCCTTGTTGGGGCTGGTGTGCATCTTGAGGTTGTATCTTTCCAGCTTCTCCTTGCGAAAAGAAAACCAAGTTGAGCTGCAACATGTACGTTGACAAGCAGTATCCAAAACCATGAAATCTGCAAAGCTCTGGATGTTAGTGCCATATACTTGGTTGATGTTGATGCTGGGGTTATTGGTCATGAAGGTGAAGTACGTTCCAAATGGCCCATGCTGATCATCGCCATCATGAGTTTCACCATCATCATCTTCATCAAAGCTGACCGACTTGAGAGATCCGTTGGGCTGCTGCACGCGCAAAACTCTTTTGGCTGGTGCTGACGAAGGCTTGTCTGGCTTCTTGGCATCACCTTTGGCTCCACCTTTGCCAGCAGCAGGCTTTGAACTTTGACGGCAGGCTGCATCGCCCTGCCAATGCCCTTTCTCACCGCAAACTGCGCAATGACTTTCCTGCTTTCTCTGCTCTATCGTCTTCTTGCCGCTGAAGCGACGTCCCAATGTCAAACTTTGGAGACGCCTTGCAGTCACTGTCAAGCATTGCACAACGTCACGGAGGCTAGAATCGAGCTCATCATCTTCACCCTCAGGGGCACCTTCATCTTCTTGGTTCTCGTCGGCCTCATCTCCATCAGGAGCTTGTTGGTCGGCATCCTCATCGGCTGCCTGTTCTTCTGTATGATCTTCGGTAGGTTGGTCCTCATGGTCAGGGTTCTCAGCAACATAGGTCCTCTTGGTGTTGGTGAAGTCTGACGGGCGTTTGCCTTTGGAATCGCCCTTGCTACCTTTTTGGTTGCTTTGTCCTCCGCCTTGTCCAGAGTTGGCTGAATGTGGTTTGGATTGATCTGGCCTATGATTTCTGTCCCCCTTCCCCTCAAACTCTTTGACATAGACACCAATGGTGCTGGACGGTGCTGCGGGAATTGCAGCAATGCAGACTCAACCACATCGTGATACTTCAAGCTTTGCTGACAACCCACAAGCACAAGGCGCTGCGCCTCCAAGCTCAATCTCATTCTGTCGAGGATTCTGGATCCCCTTGACTCCTCATCATACATGGCCTGAGCATTGATGCCAACTGCTAGCAGCGATCGTTCAGTTCTATGATATCGGTTGGTGAAATCTCTGATGCTCTCCCCAAAGTGCCTCTGAATGGTCTCAAACTCATGGAGGTACTTGCGCTTGAGGTAAATGGTCTTGGTCATCAATGGGGCCCGCAGCATTTCGACGATGTAGTCAACACCGTCGTCAGAGTCCACCTTCTTCAGATCGCAATGCTCAAGTTCTTCTTCTGCATCTCCACGAAGTGACGAGTATAGCATAAGGCTGGATTCCCTTGGAGGGAGGTAGGCTCGGATCTGCAAACGCCAAACATCCAGTTTCCTTTCCCACTTGGAGAAAGCTCGAAGATCATCTTTTGCGTAGGTCCACGGTGGTGGCTGTGGTGGTGTGCCTCCACGATACTTCAAGCCAGGTGAAGGTCCCATTGCAATGTTCCAAGGCTCCTTGGTGCCTTGGTCAACAAGCTTCTTCAACATCTCATCTCGCCACTGTCCATGCGGGCCAGTAGAAGGCTTGCTGGAAAGCTTGCTGGAAAGCTTGCTGGAAGGCTTACTGGAAGATTGTCCTCCGTCTGAATGGCCAGGGCTTGAAGGTGAGGGTGCTCCTCCACGTCTTGTCGATTGCATCGATGTGTCAAGTGAAACTTTACGACGTCCAAGTTGATCAGCATGTAGTGCATCCTTTTTCCTAGCAGCGCGTCGTTGTCGTCTGCTTAGTCTTTCAGGAGTCTCCACTGGGTCATCAGGATCAACAGTGGGATCATTCGTCAACTGCTCAGACACAGCTGGGTTTTCATAGTCTTCATTGGGCTCGCTCATAGGTCTCGGATCGTCAGGCATCCGAACATCTGGGTAATCTCGCGGCCAAGAACGCTCATAGTGCCAAGGTCTGGGTGGTGGCTGTACCCTTCTGCTGTCTTCCAGAAATGCGTCTCGAAAACGATTGCATCCACAGGACATGCAGGTCCAGGCAGCTCCTTCACGTCTCCAGTCGGCACTGTGGCAGTTCACACAAAGCCACAAGCTATCTCCAGGTTCGATGGGTTCCAAGTCCGGAAGGTCATCACTGTCACGTTCATCGTAGTCCAGTGGATCATGGAATTCGTTCGGTCGCCTCAATGCAGGATTCGGTGCAGGGAACGCGTTCGGAAAACTTCGAAATCCATGCGATTCAACTGCAGAGGGCCATCTGACGTTTTCCATGGTATCCGGAACTTTGGTAGCTCCGCTACCAGCTCACAGTCTTGTGTGCTGGTAACAGACTGGGTGTTGAATGTCAATTGCAAATGAAGGTGCAAGGCTCTGCGACGATCAAAATGCGAAAAACTGGAAACTGCAATCAGCAAAGGTTGCGGCCGTCTTTTTGCTGAAAAGCGGTCATGGCTCAATTCGGCCGGTCTGCGCAGCACGTGGGGAAATGATGGCGTTAATGCCAATTGAGCAACGTATGATTGCGATGTTCGCATCCAAACGCTCATGCAGTGAAAGTGTCAACATCTCTGGACCGCTTGACAGGTTTACATGCCAAATCTTCACAACATATATACAAACACACACACATATATATATATATGTACTATATATATATATGTATTTAAACAAATCAAATTCAAATCAACCAACTCTTCGGAATTCTTCCCTCCATCTTCGCCTCCGGCGACATCGCCCCGCCGTCTCCGAGCCCCGGGCTTTCCAAATCCCACAGCATCACCGGGTGCCGCTGCCAGGACCTGGCCCTCGCCGGGCCCAGCAACCTCTGTAGCTTCCATTGCTTCGCCTACAAAGATCTCCAAAGGGATCATGATTATGATTAGTTACAGTAAGGCTCAGTAAGATTAGGTTAGGTAAGATTAGTTATGATTAGTTATGATTAGTTCTGATTGATTATCCATGAGCAATTGGATCAATTGGTTGGGATCAGAGGCAGGTCTACATCGATGACAAGAGTCACTTAAGTCTGGATATCGAATTTTCGCACAAAGAACATATCTGAGGTCAGATCTGTGTAAAAATATGGGCAATAAATGGCAATAAATAGCGCAAAACATGCAGCATCATACAGCCAAAGACTGCAACCAAGCTGCTTACGGGAGGGATCTGCGCTGCCTCTGGACATGGAAAAAATAGCCCCTCCCAGTGCCGATCTTGATCAACCATACCAATGCATAGCCCTGCATCCACATGAGCCTCACACTGACCTTTTCAAATCCTTCCACTATCTACTGAGAATTTCAGTGCAGCACGCCTCCATGGATCGGTGTCTGCTGCAACCGACTTGCTCCCAAATGGCTACAGTACAAGTATCACTATCACAGTTATCTGCCAACTACATCCACCAGCTTACCAACATCACCCGGCTATCCTCCAGGATGAAAGTTGCCACTCAAGACATCCTTCTACTCTGCCAGCTGCAGTCTCGCCTCTCATCCTTGGAGCTTCAACGGCTCACCATCTTCAGTCTGCTGATAGACTGTGACATTGCTCCTGGAAAGGCTCGTTTGCTGCAAATAGATGGGGGCTTCCTAAAATATGGGTACCTTAAACTTAAATCTTAAAATCATCTGCGTTCGCATTGACAAAACCCATTTTGGATGATTTTGGGTTCCCCCAACCGTTAGGAACCCCCCATGATCACATGCTATCTACGAAAGGATCTTCCCCTTGGCCAACAACCGCTGATTGCTGCGGCCGAAGGGCGCATCACGTTGCGGCTGAATATTGACCTGAGATCATCTGCACTGCAATTGGCCCTGAAACTGTTGTAGATATTTATAGATAGCTTTTTTGGGTGAATTTTGAATCCGCCTGAGATGCGACTAGATGTGCCTTGTCAGGGCCTGATGAATGACCCCAAGTGCTCAGAAATGTCTGAGAGCAAGACGAAACAATTCATGCCATACTTGATGCCAGCCAGAACCGGCTTTGCCTGTAGAATCGAAGTTTTGATCACCGCAAGGGCATGCAATATTTTCAGAGAGCATGAAAATACAAGGGCAAGAGTTGGCTTTGTCCAAGAATAGGATATGCATGCCATTTACACTTCTACATGATCAAAAATTGCAATTTTCCTAGGGAAGATGATGATCAGCCATCCAAAAATTTTCGGAGCACCCTATGTCATACCCTATGTTTAATCTGGCGCCAGCTTAAGCCAGCTGTCACAGCACACCTCATGTTTGAGTCGCATGTCTCCTTCTCCACCAACAGTGCGGTTGTGCCACATCCTCAGCTCAGGGATATCCTGCCATGGTAGCAGCTGCTTGAAACCACTGGCCAGTTACATCCCCAGGATCGTATGAATCCAAATCTGTTCGTTGAATCATATTAAATCAGAATTAAATCATGAATGTTGGAGAGAGCTCAGGAATAATCCATGGTCTGTGTAAGACTCTGCACAACTTTTGGTGTAACGAAGTCCCAAGGTCCCGTCTGCCCATGCCGACAAGTCTCACAGCAGTATGCTTCGCTGGTCGGACCTTCACAGCCAGCAGGCGCTAGCGACTCAGCGCGAAATTGATGCCTTAAGCGATCATACTATGATTGTGAAGTGTATCATACGCCCCAATTGCTCCTGTAAATGGGTCATTCAGATTCAACAAGCAGAGAGTTCCATTCATCATTCACGGATGATTGTTGTCCCCGTCTGCCCATTCATTGATACGTCATGCAATAGTGAGAAAATCATAATGTCTATGACAGTTTGTGAGTATGAGTCACAGTAGGACTGTGTATAAATCTTCGATATGTATATCGTATGCACCAGTTCATATATATGCTTTACGCTGTTATAATCCCACTATTTACGGTGTTTCACAGAAATCGCAATGGTTACCAACTGGCAAAGTAATTTCTTCCATCCACAGTATGTATATCTATCTATCTATCTATCCATCCATGCATCCATCTATCATTGACTACTGGCATATATATATATATAATACTATATATTATATTATACTTTAAACTCAGCAACAATTAGGCCATCCCGGCGCGGGCGCCTGGAATCCCAAATGCGGGAAGGAGGTCTCCCCGCCCGAGCCCGGCTCCAAGCCTCGAGGGTGGTTTCACATTACGAAACATCGACGATTAGATACGGAAATGATACGGAAAATAGTCTCTACTGTACCATGGGGAAAAACATGGGAAAATAGTAGATGTTGTAGAACATTATGGTCCACAATTTATGGAACTATAAAATAGATTAAAACAGTATCCACTGATATCCACCGTATCTACCATATTACCAACTATATTGATTCTATTTTATGTTAAATAAAACTGACTTAAATTGATGTATAAACAGCTTGAGAATAAGGAAACACATAGACACTATAGCTATTATTAGCTATTTATATCCCCCATCGAATTTTAGGGGAGACGTTGTGACCCCTGGTCTGTAAGGCATAAAAAAGATTCACAAGCTTGGGGCTATAGAATGAGGTTGCTGAGCTCCATTTTTCTCGAAAATAGCCTTAGCTACAAAATGCCCCTTCGTTTCAACAACCTTGACATAGGGGGAGGTTTTCCCTTGTTACAAAATGCCCCTTCGATTTCAACGACTGTATCATTCAAGGACATACCCTTTGCTGCAAAATGCCATCTCATTTTCAAGGACTGCATATGCAAAGGAACATCGTTGCTACAAAATGCAACGTTGTTTTCAACATCACCCACCAAGATTCATCAAGCATCATCATTCATCACAGATCAATATAGATCAATATAGATCAATACAGATCAATACAGATCATGCATATTCATGCATCATCATGCAGAATTGTTCTGTTTGAATCTGCTTGGTCCTTTTCATTGTATTGCGGCAGCTCTGCAACGGATTGCTTGAACCACATCTAAGCTACAAAAGGCCCGTTTGATTTTTATAAGCCAGTATGAAGCTCATCATGTCATGCTACAAAATGCCACTGCGGTTTTCATGATGGGCTAACATGACTAAAATGACTCCTTTATAAAATGATATTCACAAGTTTAAGCTACAAAATCTTGGACCTGGATTTCATCTCAGGGTTAGCCTGACTAAAATGGAAGCCTCTGTATAGTGCTTGTGGCCACCAACTCTGTAGCTTGAATTTGCTGGGGGATCTATTTATGATTTCTATTGATTTCTAAGTTGCATGAAATTGTTCGAATCCCATGCATTTCTGTGGCCCACGAATGGCTGCGGAAGTTCATCCATGAAAAATCCCACTGCGCATTTTTGCGGGTTGCCAAAGTGGGATTGCTATGATATGATCATCCCAGGTTTCTCCATCGCCTTGTTTAGGAATAGATTTCTATGGACTTCTATGGATGTCTATGGATTTCTATGGATGTCTATGGATTTCTATGGATGTCTATGGATTTCTATGGATGTCTATGGATTTCTATGGATGTCTATGGATTTCTATGGATGTCTATGGATTTCTATGGATGTCTATGGATTTCTATGGATGTCTATGGATTTCTACGGATTTCTATGGATTTCTATGGATGTCTATGGATTTCTATGGATGTCTATGGATTTCTATGGTCAATGGATTGGATTAAGGGAAAATTTACAGGAAAACCCCATATTTCATGGGAAAATCTATGGTTTCCTGTAAATTTTCCCTTAAACAAATCCATTGATATGGATGTCTATGGATTTCTATGGATGTCTATGGATTTCTATGGATGTCTATGGATTTCTCTTTAAAGGTGTTTAAACATGTGTAAGTCTTGACGAAACCACCACATGCCGCTTCAGCTTTTGACCGCCGCTTCACTGTGCTGCATCTTCCAGCCAGCGCTAGCGACACTTGGAATCCACGACACGATTGGCCAAGTCAGTGGGGATCCCCACAGTGGATCATGCCATTCCATGCCATTCCATGCCATTCCATGCCATTCCATGCCATTCCATGCCATTCCATGCCATTCCCCTATATATTGAGTATTCTATGTATATTACTAGATATATTGAGCAACTATGAGTAACTCTAGTATTCTATTCTAATCATATCTAATCATATCTAATCATAAACTTTTTTTGGCGTTTTTGAAACCTGCTCATCTACTACGCTTAGTCATGGAAGTCCAACTGATTCTCACTGTCCAGATTGACCAGGTCTTCTGATGGCAATTTCCTACACACGATGAAACACGGCCATCAAACAATGATACCGTGGAAAGATCCGAAGATCCTGAAGCCCGCAGCAAGTGAGGAACCCGTCTAAGCGAGCGCCCAAAAAATCAAGCTCCTCAACAGCTGCAGCTAGACTGCTGACAGGATCGACATGGATTGATCACCCCTTGTTTGTTCATGTTTGTGTTTTTATTTTAATACCGCACCGTCATATTGATCCATGATCTTGAAGTTTTGGGAGCGGCAACACTTCAAAGCAACAAGTCCGCCCCACGTCAAACTGTGGAGCACGGGGTGATTCTTGCGTTGCAGGCGCCAATCCGGCCCTACAAACTGTACAGTCTAATCAGTTTGAAATCAAGTGGTGGAATTCCACGACGTGAAGCCGTGAAGCCCGTTGGCGCAGGCCAGAGCTCAAAAGATTCCAAGTAGCTACCCCAAGTCCACTGGATCATCATGGATCATCATCGTTGTCCAAAAGAAACCCAATGTGGGGCGAATACCCCGTTTTCAGACTCACCCATATGCTGTTCAAAGATGTTCAGAAAGTTTTGATGACGGTTAGGTGACAAAACATCTGACCAAGCAGGGCGTTGAACGAAAAAATATCACCATTGATACCATTGCTCCTGCAGTCAGGGTTGACAGAAGTCCCATTTCGATCCATTTCGTGGATTGTAAGCATCACCAAGCAAAGTTGTGGTTGAACAGTGTCTCTTTTTCTATATCTATGTCTAATCACTATCAAATATCTATCTATCTATCTATCTATCTATCTACATCATTCTATCTCCATTCTATTCAAGTATATATCCCACATGATAAACACTTTTTTTTTTCGTTGCTATTTTTTCCATCGTTATTCCCTGGGACTCGAGCGTCACGTGCAGCAGCTCAGCAACTCTTGGTGCGAGTGATGGCTGGGGCTCCATCCATGTCATCCACCTCGATGAAGGTGTTGTGCACCTGCCAGGGGGAGACGAAGATCTGGATGAAGGTGGTTAATATATGTTAATATCTGTGGGATTGTATATAGGTGTATTATATATTTAATTATATATATATATTTAATTTAATTATATATATATATATGTATGTGTGTGTATGTGTGTAAATGCTAAAATTTAAAAATGTAATTATGCACCTGAGACCTACAACTCCCATGTCATGTGCGGTCATGTTTCCTACTTACTCATCACATATGGCTATCAGAAAAACGGACGGCCGTTTTTTCAGAGACTATCAAACCTTGTGATGGCGTGCGTTTGGGCTGATGACTTGGGAAATTTTCTTGTCAAAAAAAAATGGGAAAAAAAATGATGACTTGGGAAAAGTGGAACAGCCACCTATCACCGACTTGTCTCAAGTCATTAGAACTGAGTATAAATAATTAAGTAATTGTATAATGATAAATAGATATCATGCAAATGTTCACATGATTGGATATTCTGACACATCTCAAGGCTGGATTGAAATCCTCTGGGCAGATTCCGCGAATTCCGCCAAGCTTGCTACCGTATGATAGTAATTATAGTTGGTGGTTCCAATCCTCCAATCCCCTATTTCATGTGTTGATCACAGGAATCAGCATCCCAAAAATTGGATAAAATTGGTGCAAAATAAATGAACACCACCAACCACTTATGATACTGCGTTTGCTCCACAGGCAGGGCGGGTTCCCACGAAAAAAGGGAGGTCACAGGTCATGACAAGGCGCTGTGATCAAGGACTTCAGGGGCACCGAGGGTGGGTTGTCCAGGTAGCTGTCAGGCACTTCGGCGAATCGAGGGGTCTTCGCCTGCTCTGCAATCAGAGGGATCCAAAACTTGCTGGTGGTCAAAGCTCGCACTGCGATGGTGCAAAGCAGAACATGTGACAAGTCAATCCAAGCGAGGTCTAAATTACTACAGTCATGCGGGTTTATTGATGATATATGATGATATTTGATGATTGCTGTAGTGATTTGTAGTGCAATTTGCACATGTCCGAAGAACTTGCCTCGGAGATGGTCGGCGCGTGCTTGGTGCTGTTGAGCTTCCGATATGCCATCTGAGCACCCGGTGAGGAGCAGGATCAAACAACAAGGCATAACAAAGCCATCCAGGCTGGGAGGATGGCCACTTGAAAAATGAATTGAATATGACATGGATCATCATGGATCAATGGATCATCATGGATCGATAATCTGGGGGCTAATCATATCTATGCTAATCTTAACAGTCTTAACACATTCATCTTTCATCTTGAATTTCTCTTTCATCATCTTTCATCCGCTTAGTATGCGGCCACCCCATGGCTTCCCCATGGCCCATGACCCATGCCCCGCCTTGTGAACCTTCCAGGCGGCCTCAAAGCTGCTGTTCACTTCGAGCCATTGGCTTCGTCGCACCACAGCTTGGTAGGGCACCAGTGGCCGACCATCGATGCTGCTGAAGACCTGGACCTGGCCGATGGTAGCGGGTTAAGGGGTCACACCAAGGGGGTCGCCAGCCAAAAAAACACATGAAGGCACCTCAGGACAGCCAATGGCTGCCAAGAAAAGGAAGAGGTAGTTCGGAAAATTGAAGTCTCCAACTGGTCGGAACCAGAATGTGAAGGCAGGGTCCTTGCATCGAGAATTTGAGCAACTTGGAACACCAAGCAGTAGTTGAAACCTCAAGCTGCTTCCGAAGCAGGCATGTCAAATGATTGCCTGAGTTCAAACTAATTACTGGACCTGTCCCTGAGGAGGGCGAGACCATATTGGGTATGAACATGTCACTACCAGCTATATCTTGATGTTCACGTACCAAGGTCTTGATCTCCAGCCCAAGGACCACAACAAAAAACATGTCTATGACCGCGGCAAGTCTCAGCACCCTCGGGTAAATCCAGTAAGACACACCATGGATCCTCGGTTCAGAGCGGTTCGTGTCTGCCATCAGGGACCCAAGCGTTGGGACAATGACTTCCAACATGTCAAATAATCCAGAACCTCCAGAGTATAGGAGAATGCCAGAAGATCAATAGAATGCCAGATCGAATGCCAGAAAATATGTCAGATAGAATGCCAGAAGATTTGCCAGTAAGAAAATGTATAAATGTCATGGTGGGGATCACACGAAGTAAAGTAATTTTTTAAATATATAACTTCTCACAGCTCATCCCCAAACCACCGGCTGTTCTGTCAAGGTGCCTCACCCAGGTTCAGTGCCAGTGGGCACGCGCCAGGTAACAAGGGCCGGCCTTGAGGGCAGGTCCTCAAAGAGAGGACCGTGTAGAAGTTCTGATCTGCCTGGTGCTGTTGAATCTGGTGAATTTTCAGGGAACAGAAGTCTTAAAGTTACAGGTGAAATTTATGGAACATGTTCACATATATACATCATGTATCATCACCCATAGGATCCATGGTGCTGGTATATATGCTAACATTGGGGGTATATTGATGGGATCCATGTTACCATATATAGCATACATGGATCCTATGGGTCATGTGTGTATAGATAGGAAGCGGGAAAGAGAGAAGACTGTCCTGCTTTCCCTTCATCCCATTCTGGGTAACCGTTGGCTGTTGAACACTTGGCTGCGGGATCCCCTGGATCGGCCACGGCCATGGCCCAAGATGGAGGCCATCTGATTCTGGGCGGGGATCATGTTCTATGACTCTATAAAATGTCATGTATGTATTCGCGCGCGCACACGTGTATCCATCAATCTCTCTCTCTCTCTCTCTCAGTATGAATACTATTCCCCTTCTGTAAAAAATGTGTATAAAAAAAGAGAGAGAGAGAGAGAGAAAAAAAAGAGAGAGAAAAAAAAAACAAAAAACACCTGTATTTACAGTAATTATATGAGGTAATTCCAACTGCTTCCAAGTTACCTTGCAAAGAGACTCCAAATTGCCAAATGAAGACGCTGTCAATTGCACCAAGTTCGCCACTGATTGTGCCTTAGGCTCTTGGAACATCAAACCGAAGCACTCCATCGCGAATGAAACATGTTTCTGCACATCAAGTCCTTTCAAGTGTCAGATGTATCCCATATAGTGTTCCGACAACCAACGTAGTGTAGCCATCCAGGGTCCGCATGGGTCGGATTCTTCCATTCCTGCCATCCCGTCCAAGTGGCCATTTGAGCCAGGTGAGCTGAAGCCCACAATGGGAAGGCGGAGCCAGTGACGAAAAGACCCACCGTCACGATCATTTCATCCGGAGATTGGGGATGCGCTTGGACCACCGATACCTTAAGCCGTTGCTCTCGCGAGCCATCAATTTTTTATAGGGATCAGCCCTCATGCTCAATGGGGCTGCAAGAGAATCAACCATCTGAGGCAAAGGTGCAGTAGCAAAGTGGCCCCCAATTTGAGACATAAAAGTCTGCGTTTTCTCGTCAAAGGGAATCTCCACAATAGTCAACAAGCCTGCAGCGCAAGACGCAAAGATGCGTCGAATTAAAAGCCAGTCGCACACAATGCTCTTGCCGAAGAATATCGATCGATATTAGCATGGATTAGCATGGGGTCACGAGATCCGAGAAGTACAGTCCAACAAAATCAACTTGAAGCATCTTCAAACTAGATTACATGATTACATGTGACATTGACGTAGGCGGCATGCAGATCATGCATGACCTCCCATCAAAAGAAACTTTAAGACCTATCCATCTATCCATATAAATCTATATAAATCCACATAAAGCTATGTAAATAAATATGTGGACATATAAAATATTTATCTTTAAATCCATCGCCGTCTCCATCATGTAGACAAGGCTAGCCAGCAGTGCCTGGGCTCGGGAAGTCGCGCCACTGAACGACTCCTGGGGTCGCTCCAGCTGCCAGGATGAAAACAAAGGGGGTGCAAATGACAATGACAACCATTGACAAACTCAGAAGTAATCATGACAATAATATACTGAGCACATATAGCAACTATAAAAGTAGTAGTAATATAAAAAATAATAGTAATCATCACAATCATCATCATCATCATGATAATAGAACAAATAATGATATTTCACATAGTCAGATATAATGACATACTGACATAGACGTATAATTGACGTATAACTTTGATACATGTATATAATATATATATATATACACAGTAATAACTTACAATAATTCATAATCACCAAGAAAAATGGTCCACCAGCTCAACATCAAACATATCAAACTCCCAAAAAAGTAAAATATATGTATAACACTTTGACTTTATAACATGTTATCACTGATATTTTTTCTGATGCAGCACCAAGATTCGTTCACGGAAGTGTTCCTCACAAGCTTCTGGTGGACTCGAACCAGTGAGAAGGGCCACCTGTGCTCCGGCCTCGCCGCGCCAGGCACCGCCAGGCCGTTGGCGCCGATGCTGTCCATGATTCATTGGTGTTTTGCTCCAACAAAGTGGATCAAAAGTGGTAGAAAAACATCCAAAAATGATGGAAAATTAGAGTTTGGTCCAGTTTGGTTGATCTTTTCTGGAAATCCTGAGCAGAAAATGGCAACTGAGCTCCACATTCGCCTTGTTCATCTCATCCATGAAGCTGTTGCGCAAGTGGACTGACGTGAAAATATCTCCTGTTTGGCCAACAGCAAGGTCTGCAGCAATCATACGCAGTGGCTCACCTGCTCCCAAGCCTGGTGACAAGATCTCCTCGACAGTGTATGTAAAGTCAGCGAACTCTATACCTGGTCATGGCAGGAGCCAAGCCAGCAAGGCCCTGTTCAGTCCAGCAAGATGTTAAAATTGACATGTCTCCCATGCGCCTTTCAACTGAAACGTCCTCTATCAGACTCTATATCGGTTCGGGGCTGTATGTACATAAATATATATATATATACATATATATATAATTATATATATATATGTATTATATATGCATGTACAGAGAGAGAGAGAGAGGTATACAAACTTACTACATTTCAATCAGCCTCCACCCCCAAGGACAATGAGCAAGAAAAGTATATCTGGCACCTGCTTATATGAAACTGGTTGGAATGATAAATAGGTGTTTATCCCGCAAAGTTTGAATGGGAAATTCACAGGTCAGGGCGACCGAGGCTTGACGTGAGCTGTCTGTCTGCCAGAATCTCTGGTCGAGGAAAGACGGAAAGCTTCGAGGAGTCCGCCAAAACGGACTTGGTGGCCACAGGCAATCACTGTTCATGGGGACTTCATGGGGATTTCGCAAGGATTTGATGGTTCTGGCCATTATGAGAAAGGACTTTCGAAACCAACATACATTATGTATCTGTATATGCATATAATCTCCCAAAATGTAAATGTGTAAGAACGCCATAAATTGATGTAAGTTGATTGTCTGGGATTTCTGAAGGAGACACCAACACCACACAGCGCAGAGTCTCACCAAGTATTTGGTAGATCATCGTTCATCTATAGCAAATGCACACAATGAAAATCCAAGCTACCTTAACCACTGTGCTCAGCCGAAGCATGAAGAAGTTTCCGACCCGCTTAAAAGCAGCATTGCTATTGCTATTTCCTGCCACTACGTCAAGCATTGTCAAGCTGCCTTCATGCCTTTATTGCCTAAGGCTTCGTCGTTTGCAACACAACCAGGTCATTGAAATGCATCCAAATTATATGATGAAACATAAAATGCTTCAGCCGAGCATGTTGAAGCAAATGACATCTGCTGTCATTTTTGATCTGCACAAAGCCAATTCCAAGTGCTGGAAATTGGAAGTTCAAGTTGAGGCCAGGTTATGACATGTCATGAAGACTCAGCACATCCCAAGTCCTTCTGCCAAGATGGGAGTATCTAACACTGTCCATCCATCCTCGCTGATCAGGTCCTGCATCTCACTCATCAAAAAGAAAACCCATCCCAAGTGCAATTGCATGGCAATTGCATTCAAACCTGGATGTACTACTTGATCATGCAGTACTTCATCATACTTTATCCATCTCTATCCTGGTTGTGGTGCAGGCAGGATGGGATTAGGATTTTCCAGCTGCATCCAGGCGAATGCCCGACTTGCCCGATGTCCTCTGCCGATGCCTTGAGAGTTCGGTCAGTTCCTAAATCACCAAGCTCCATGGAATCAAGTTTGCAGTCGCGGTACCGAAAGAAAATAACAACCCAAATTAAGCCAAGCAGATCTGCGGCTTTTGGGTGTCCCTTTTTTGTGAACAAAAGCATCAATCCTTGGACTATACTCTGTCTGTCTGCTGGCAAACACGTCCAAAAGAAACCAAATCCAGTTTTGCAGCTTATAAGTGGGACTCGTTCAACCGTTGGGTGGTTTGTCTTGGCTTCACGCTTGAGCCACTAAGCAACCTGCGGTCCATATATAACGGCAGTTATACCGTCCCATGGCTTAGACTCCTTGCTAACTGGGATGCACATTGAGCCCCAATGCTTCTTAATGTGGTGAAGTATGCCAAGTCAAGACCTGTGAGGCAAGTGGGTCAGCCAAATGATATTAATTACGGTAGTGTTGGGAATGCAACAGTAAACATCAGTAAACCTGCCATATATTATTATTATTATTGTTATTATTATTATTAGTAGTAGTAGTGTCTCATGCCACCTATAGAATTGGTAAAACAAATTGGGGATGTTGTTTTATTTTCAGTGCAGGTGCTTCTTTTGTGGGAAGTGATGGGGCCTGTTTTGTGCCATATGGCAGCCTATGTTGGCCGCATCTCCGGGCCTTTTCCAACCAGGGTATATAGTTTGTTTCTTCACCAGCAGTGTGTGTAATTTCAAACATAAAATACCAGCAGTCGCTCTATACGCTTTACTAACAGTTCTTTTTTTGCCCTCCCTCTGCAATTTTTACCTACCTCCGTAGTATATTATCGGCCTAAAAAAAACAAAACGACAAACTTTTATGGTGATTCATTGAGGGTAAAAGCAGTGACATTCATGGTTTTGCCACATGCTGTTATTGCCCGCAATTACTAAACGAAGGAAACAAATTGTCAAATCAAAACCAACCGCATTTTTCACAAAACGTTGTTGAAAAAAACGCGCGCAAAAACACAGTACAAAATAGTACAAAACCATAGCAAGTTTCATATCACAAGTGGCTCCAGATTATCAAAGCTTGCACCCCAAGAAAGGATTGTTTTTTTATGGGGAATTAATTGCAACATGTGGTACGAGTGCAGACTTTTCACACCGGATCCGCAGTCCAGGTTCCAGGCCGTTGAGGTAAACAAAGACCGTGGATGGTCTCATGGAGCCATCCTTAGGGCCAAATTGCCAGCGACAGCAAGTTCTCTGGTTGATGTTGGAATCATCATGGATCAAAGACGTCGCCATGGGTGCTCCCGACACAATGCCCACAATGGGCCAGATCTTACAACTTCAGCAGAAAACTTGTGCGCCAAGACTCGTGATGCAACTTGAAGAACTGTCCCGGCCTGAAAGGCCAAGAATCCACTTTCACTTTTCTGTTGAGTTGCGTGATACATGCAATAGCATCTCCAACGGGAGAACATGCACCAGGCCAAAGGGCTTTTCTCGCCCTTCCCCTATCGGATCATTGATCCAACTAGCTGGACCACTGGTCACCCCAAGAAGTTCCGCCCGATCCCACGCTTGAGGACACGGCTCGTAACGCAACATGACTAAAGGCTCCACCTCCCATGGACTTCATTGACCGCAATACACAATTTTCTTGGTCCAATCCCTAGTTGTGTCGGTTTCCAGTAATATAACAGAGCCATGGTCAAATAGTCCATTTGTAGATGATTGCTTGTGGAACATGGCCATCTTATGCCATCTTCCATGGCCAGGTTGAACAGCCAAAGGGATCCAAAAGGGTACCTTCCACTGATGGTGGGCATATGCTTACTACCTGAGCAGCCGCTTGCCTGTGCCAACTTGGTTTGTGTGACAGCCGCTACCCGTGCAGCAATGCGTTCCTGCCAGTTCGTGATTGGATAATTTGATCAACCCAAAAACCTTTTGACACTTTAATAGTCTTTAATATACACTGTGCTATACTCTGAGATTCACAGATAGCCTTCCATGCTTCCTTTGAGCGGATTTTTGTTCAAGTAATTCCCAGCATCCAAGGCACAGTCACAATGGTCTCATCCCATTGAAGATGGACCTAAGGAAGACCGGGCTGTCTTTTGATATTGGTTGGGGACATCCTGGATATACTCCTGCAGTCTCCTGTATATCTAGCATCTTTATGCATGTTTGATTTAGGCGTGTCATGGACTTTTTGCCTGCAGAAAGTGTGAGCTTCCAAGTCACATCATGCAAGTGCCCCACGATCAAAGTGGCAGGCACATGTCAATATCGTCAGCTTCCCTTGAAGTCTCTAGTCGTCTTGGCGCGTTGCAGGATGGACCCATGAATCATTGCTATGCAAACAAGCGGCACTGCTGGAGGTGCGCGTTTCCCCGTAGCCCTCTTCCTGGGAACGCGCTGAGGTGGCTGTACTCAGGCATCAAGCTGCTAATCAGCTCGCTAACCCGTTGGAAATGCACACATGCCAAGACTGGAACTTCGAAATCTTCAAAAAATGGCGTGGTTTGAAAATATGGCACCATATGGCACCCCAAAATTGGATGATTGTCTGAATTTACATGGCTCATTTGGAGGTATCCCATTTCAAGCACCCACAAGGCCCACAAGTGACCACAAAATGCCCAAGTTGCCCCCAGAGGATGTTCCGCAGCGCCAGTGTTGCGTCCATGGAGATCGCTGGCCTGTGCTGCGATGTCCAGAAACGGTCTTGGCGATGCTTCAAAAACTCGCATGCCGTGTACCGGTTCAAAGCCATATACCCTCTGGTAAACTAACATAGCTATGGAAAATCACCATTTATAGTTGATTTTCCCATGAAAAATTGTGATTTTCCATAGCTATGTTAGTTTACCAGAGGGTATGTGCGGTCCTTTTCAGCATCCAACCACGCAATTTGGGGGTCAATGTCAACCATGTTTATAGGCGTAATTACCTTTAAAAATTGGATTCTTAAAACATAGGATGCCCTAAACTCAGCCGCTTTGGCTATGGGCCAAAGTTTCGAAACCCTACCTAGTACCCGCGGTGAACAACAAAATAGTGGGCACATCCCCACCCAAACCACAACCAAGTGGCGGCCCCCTTGGAAACCTTCGATCTCTCCTGGCAGGCGGAAGTTTCCAGCACAGCTGAGATGATCCTCTCGGTGGAAAATGTTGGAAATGTACAACCCATCAAGTCACTGAGGCTCACGAAGGACACTCAGATCTCAGCCTAAACAAATCAGTGATTCTATCCCCCATGTATAGCCCGCTAGATGCTTTGCGGCCGACTTTATAGAGAATAGCTTGGTATAAACTGGAATGGCCACATGTCTGGAGTCTATAAAGTGGAAAGCCAACATGTTTTGTCTATAAAGTCAAAATCCAACGTTTGTATAAAGTCGCCTGGCCGCGTAAAAACATAAAACTCGATGCAGGTTTTTGAGGGTGCTTGTGAACATGTCCCATGACTATAAAGTGAGATGCCGAACATCCAGATAGTAATACTTGTGCAGAACAGTGGCACTATAATGTGGATTTCCGGCTAAACAACGATCGTTGTAGTAGCGATGATTTTCTTAATCGCGACGATGGCAGCATCGACATGATTGTCTATAAAGTTGAGGGGCCACGTTCAAACCTTGGGGGAATATCATCGATCTCATCGATGGGGAACCCAAAAGACTTCGAATGACTTCGAAACCGAACGAAACCGACAGCCAGACAAATATCTATATCGAAGTCGTTAACAGAATCTATGGTAAAACAAAATCTATGTTGGACTGGCCACTTTATACCCCCTCCCCCAGCAGAGAATGCCTCTAACACACTTTCCTTTGAAAGGGGTCCTTGGGGTGAAAGGGGTCCTGGTCGCGCCGCGCGCGCGCGCCAAAATGGCTCCAATTTTGACACCTTTTTGGCGCGCGCGGGCGGCGCGCCCAGGACCCCATTCACCCTGAGGACCCCTTTCAAGGGAAATCTTCTTCTCTATAAAGTGGCCAGTCCAGGTAAAACCCCTGAAAAAACAGAATCTATGTTGGACTGGCCACTTTATACCCCCTCCCCAAACAGAGAATGCCTCTATAAAGTGCCCAGTCCAGGTAAAAACCCTGAAAAAACAGAATCTATGTTGGACTGGCCACTTTATACCCCCTCCCCCAACAGAGAATGCCTCTATAAAGTGGCCAGTCCAAGTAAAACCCCTGAAAAAACAGAATCTATGTTGGACTGGCCACTTTATACCCCCTCCCCCAACAGAGAATGCCTCTATAAAGTGGCCAGTCCAGGTAAAAACCCCTGAAAAAACAGAATCTATGTTGGACTGGCCACTTTATACCCCCTCCCCCAACAGAGAATGCCTCTATAAAGTGGCCAGTCCAGGTAAAACCCCTGAAAAAACAGAATCTATGTTGGACTGGCCACTTTATACCCCCTCCCCCAACAGAGAATGCCTCTATAAAGTGGCCAGTCCAGGTAAAACCCCTGAAAAAACAGAATCTATGTTGGACTGGCCACTTTATACCCCTCCCCCAACAGAGAATGCCTCTATAAAGTGGCCAGTCCAGGTAAAACCCTGAAAAAACAGAATCTATGTTGGACTGGCCACTTTATACCCCCTCCCCCCAACAGAGAATGCCTCTATAAAGTGGCCAGTCCAGGTAAAACCCTGAAAAAACAGAATCTATGTTGGACTGGCCACTTTATACCCCCTCCCCCAACAGAGAATGCCTCTATAAAGTGGCCAGTCCAGGTAAAACCCCTGAAAAAACAGAATCTATGTTGGACTGGCCACTTTATACCCCCTCCCCCAACAGAGAATGCCTCTATAAAGTGGCCAGTCCAGGTAAAACCCTGAAAAAAAACAGAATCTATGTTGGACTGGCCACTTTATACCACCTCCCCCAACAGAGAATGCCTCTATAAAGTGGCCAGTCCAGGTAAAACCCCTGAAAAAACACATTTTTACCTGGAATGGCCACTTTATACCCCAGCCAGTGGGCTCCAGGACTTGGACCCAGAAACGGAAGGACTGACAACAAGGTAAAGGGGGAAAACTACAACGGAGAGGTACATCGGGAAGGCTACCACAAGAA